GTGTAGGTCGATCATCACTCTTTTGTATGTTACACACAATCTACTAAATATAGACAGACTTCATTACAAAGAAAAAATACCAAACAAAAAAATATAATCAAAATCTATGACAAAAATACTATTATAAACTAGGTTAATGGATAATTCAGTAGCAAAAGTTACTCTAGAAAAATCATGAGTGCACAATAATTTTATAAAATCTTAAATTTTTAGTGAAAAAAAATACATTTAGTGGGTAACAAATAAAAGTGAATAAGTGAAGGGCTAAATCTGGTAGGCCTACACATTGCTCTTTGTATTGTTGTAAAATACATTCATGAAAAACAAGTAATATATTTATATATAAATATATACTATAGTAGTCAACATTTGAAGTGGATCAAAACCTTTCAAAATCAAAGTTGTCCTAAAACCAAAACAATACCCATTATTGTCTTAGGACAACTTTGATTAACTTTTTGAATCCACTTTAAATGTAGACTACTGTATAAATTAAAATACATTTCTTTTAAATGTATAGCAGAGTAATGAGGCAGCAACATATGATAGATAAGACGAACAAGAAAGGCTATTTATAATCTTTCATTGCGCAAAAGTGTTATGATACTAAAGGCTACAAATACAGAGCGGCTCCAAGCGTGTAGCATAGAGAAGTTCAAAGCACAAAGTGAAGAGCTATTGATGCGTAGTGTATTAAATATGTGCGTTAGTTTATTGAGCCTTTTCTTTTAACAGTTTTAAATTTCAGTTACTGTGCTCGTGACGAACAATTCATAGTGCTCTCTACTCCAGTCTTGTGATCTAACCAGATATCCGTTAGAAATTTACACGATTTAGAAACAGCACGAAACTCCAGCAAGATAAATTCCTTTTATGCAAAACCATTGATCTTTATTTACAGATCAAGTATAACATTAGGAACATTTAATCATCTTGGAGAGAGTTTCATCGTCTTGACTGTCATAACCGAACGTGACAAACAGTTTGAATGCTGAATGGAAAATGACAGACAGCCGCTGCAGAGAGAAGAGTTTACGTGAACTTGACTTAAATATTTATCTGTACCTCACATTAAACTAGGGAAAAGCTTCAGAACACTTGAAATATAGTGCACGAAAACTTTATGGTGCCTTATAATGTTTTTGTGGTTTTCGTGGGGCTTAATAATAACACAGAATAGTATACGCACTATATCGGATTTGGATCGGTCTCATCTGACCGATACCCCGATCCAGCAGAAAATGCCAGTATCGGAGCGATACCGAATATCGGATCGGCGCACCCCTAGTACTTATTTCTTTTAAAGAAATCTTACTGACCCCAAACTTTTGAAAATTACATTAAATGAACAGAAATATATTAAGTTGCACAATAATCAGATTTAATTCTAATCAAGCGAGGTCATAGTCACCTGTCATGGCATTTTCCGTGGAGCAGAGATTTGCCATAGCTGTCCAGCGACTGCACTGGATTCTCTGGATCGTAACGCTGTTCGGTGTCATCCAGAGAAACAAAGAAAGCCGCCTTCTCCACGGCATCCAGAGACTGCTTGTTCTTCCCTCGACTGAAGAACTGTGAGCGGGCTTTGGCCCAGGGAACTCTGGGTAATGAGGAACAAAAGCAGAGATAAAATCACCTGGATCAATGCTTGTTCTTTAATGGGCTTTGATCACATTTTAGTGAACAGAAAGAGAAGAAACAACGTCTGGTTCATGAATGAAAGCTGCAGTTTGTAGATTTCGCAGACACAATGTTTCCAGCTCAAGTCCACAGTTAAAAGAAACCTTATTTAATTTATTAATACAATTTCATTGACTATGATATTTAAAATATTTTTTTATTATTATTACTATTTTACAATATCATTTTGCGTTATTAATTACCAAATATTTTTTTTTATTATTTCAAAAATTAAATAAAAAATTCATTTAATTAAAAAATAAGTATTACAAATAAAAATAAACTATTTAAAATAAATAAAATAACTCGCCTGTCACCCGCTGTTAACGCGGCCAGCAGCTCCTCTCCTGGCTGAGGTTCAGACTTGTCGGCCAAGATCCTTTCGATCTGCTGCTCAATTTCTCGAGGCAACAGCAGCCGTCCATCATAAAACATCCACACTTTGTAAAAGTGTCCCTTGTAATACACGGCAATGTGTTTGCTCTCATTCATGTGCTGAAGGACGTCTGATGAAGAATACGGATGTGAGGATGGAGATGTGTCAATGTGCATGAAAACAATCATTTCAAATAATGTAACACTTATTTGTACAGTTTAAATTAGGCAAAATGTGTCATATTTAGGCTGTATTTGTTAAGGGTTAAATGATTAATGGTGGTCAGTAGACAATGACGAGTAAAGCAAAAGGTGAGATGAGAAAGGCAAAGTAGATGATGAGAAGAAAGGCCAAACAAAGGCTTGTTCCCTTTCAATATTACACTCGTACTGCGTCTTGCTAGACGCATATGGGAAAAAAGCCTTTTTTCTCCTTAAGCCTATTCATTCACGCAGTGAAACTGCACGGCCTGGAGCTGCACCAGCCTATGGCGACAAAGCCTGCCAAAGCCCGCCAGAATGGGCGGGGCATCTGGCTATATAAGCGGGCGCTCGCCACAGGATTCTCAGATTTATTCTCCTTCAGCGACGACTCTACACTCATCGCTGATCCTGAAAGCCTGCTCGCCGTTGACACGCCTTCACAGCCGGAATCGGGACCTCTCAGCACAGCTGACCTGCTTCTCCGCCGCTACAGCGACGCAGCAGTTCCGGTCCGTTTTCCCCTGCCGCCATCCGGCGATTCTAAAAGAGCTTATTTCTAGCAGGTAAGCCCTAAAAGAGAAAATTTTAGCGACATTGTTGCAAATGTCGCTCTGCGAGTGTGGCTCATGCAGGGAAACTTGCACGATGTAGAAGAGCAATGAATATGTCATCTGTCTGGGCAGACCCCACGCAGAGACTGTTCTTTCGCCGAGACAGAATGCTCACTCGAGCATGAGTTTCGCTCTTCTCCGCTCGCGGACCGCCTTCACTGGAGGAAGCCCCGCTTTTCCGTTTCTCCTCTCTCAGCGAGCCTCGGAGAGAGAAACAACGGAGTCAGGGAACTAAGCAACCGGGTCTGAGCGATCGCATGCTGGCACTGTACCCGCGTGCTCGCTCTCCCCATTGCACTCGGATTCACTGCAGAAGGGCAGTGAGCTACGCACTTACTGAGACAAAATGCTCACTCGAGCACGAGTTTCGCTCTTCTCCATTCGCGGTCCTCCTCCAATGGAGACAGCCCCGCCCTCCCGTTTTCTCCTCTCTCAGTGAGCCTCGGAGAGAGAAACAGCAGAGTCAGGGAGCTAAGCAACCGGGTCTGAGCGATCGCATGCCGGCACTCTACCCGTGTGCTCGCTCTCCCTGTTGCACTCGGATCCGCCACAGAAGGGCAGTAAGCTACGAGCTTACTGAGACAGAATGTTCACTCGAGCATGAGTCTCGCTCTTCTCCACGCGTGGACCGCCTTCACGGAAAGCAGCCCAGCTCTCCCGTTTATCCTCTCTCAGCGAGCCTCGGAGAAGGAAACAGCGGAGTCAGGGAATAAGCAATCGGTCTGACTGATCTCATGTCGGCACTGTGCCTGCGTGCTCTCTCCATTGCACTCAGATCCACCGCAGAAGGGCAGTGAGCTACGCGCTTACTAAGACAGAATGCTTACTCGAGCATGAGTCTCGCTTTTCTCCACTCGCGGACCGCCTTTGACTATACAGACCCGCTCTCACATTTCTCCTCTCTCAGCAAGCCTCGAAGAGAGAAACGACGAAGCCTGGGAACTAAGCAACCAGGTCTGAGCGAACTCACGCCGACACAGAGCCTGCGTACTCGCCCTCCACACTGCGCTTCGATCCGTGTCTCACACAAAAGGATTAGTGCCCCTCTTTACATCGAGCGGCTTTATCCTACAAAGTAGATCGGAGCAGATGCTGCCGCTGACAGCTTCAAATTTGTGTGTGTGTCACTTTGGCTGCGCTCACAGACACGGGCCGCTTTTACAAAAGCAGTTGCCCCCGTTCGTTCGTGGAAGGCAGCCCACCTCCCCGTGCTCATGTTTCTCTCCTCCCAGCTACTTCGGAGGAAGTAATGACGAGCTCACGGGTTGAATGATCAGAATTGAGCAAACCACTACACACATCATGCGTGCTTAATCTGCCAGTGTGTGTTACACATGGGGATCGGTGCACCTCGTTATACGAGCAGCTTAATCCTCCCAGGCAGATCAAAGCGAAACGCGGGCGGCTTGCTCTAGTGTTTCTCTCCTCCCAGTTACTCGGAGGCAGAAATGGCAAACTCGCGGGTATGATCGATCAAGGGTGAGTGATTAAAAGCCGGCAAGGCCCCGCTTGTATCACTCTCCATGCAGCGCTTTGACAGGGCAAACCCCCGTGCGGCCAGTCACCTGAGTTAAGTTAACCCCTCGTCACGCTGGCCGAGGCCTGGCAGGCTATCCCCGGAGTGTCGAGATGGATTATGGGGATAATAAAGCGAGGATATTCACTCTAATTTGCTCGAAGACCCCCGCGCTTCAGCGGCGTGGTCCCCACCTCTGTGCTGAGTGTGGACGCTCACGTACTGCGCTCAGAGGTGATGACTTTGCTGGCAAAAGAAGCCATGAAAGAGGTTCCTCCAGCCCAGAGCGATTCAGGCTTTTACAGCCGTTACTTCCTCGTCCCCAAAAAAGAGATGGTGGCCTCCGACCCATCCTCAATCTCAGACACCTGAATCGCGCCCTCATGAAGAGGTCGTTCAGGATGATTACACTGAAACAGATCCTCACGCAAATTCGCTCAGGAGACTGGTTCTTTTCTCTGGACCTGAAGGATGCATACTTTCACATCCAGATAGCCCCTCGTCACAGGTCATTCTTGAGATTCGCCTTCGAGGAGTGGCTTATCAATATACGGTCCTTCCCTTTGGGCTGTCCCTGCCCCCACACTTTTACGAAGTGCATGAATGCGGCTCTCTCCCCTCTAAGACAGACGGGAATCCGTATTATCAATTAACTCGACGACTGGCTCATTCTGGCCCAGTCGGAGGCAGAATTAATATCTCACAGGACCCTCCTCCTCGGCCACCTGGAGTGCCTGGGACTCAGGGTCAATTTTGCCAAGAGCTTGTTGCTTCCCAGCCAGCAAATTCATTCCTGGGAACGATTTTTGACTCAGCCCAAATGAAAGCTGTAGGCACGCCGGAAAGAGCTCTGGCCATACGGAAGCTGGCGACCTCCTTCGAGATCGGTACCGCTTGCCCTCTCAAAGCGTTTCAAAGGATGCTGGGCCTCATGGCAGCAACATCTCCAGTGTTACAGTTGGGTCTGCTGCGTATGCGCCCCCTTCAGCGCTGGTTGAAACCACGTGTTCCATCGCATGCGTGGCATCAGGGACACCTGCATGTCAGGGTGAGTCAGGCCTGAGTATCGGCCCTGACCCCCTGTTGGAAGAACTCCCGCTGGATGGAACAGGGCGTGGCCATGGGGATAGTTCACAGAAGGACAGTTGTCACGACAGACGCCTCCAACTCAGGTTGGGGGGCGCTGTGCGAGGGCATACCGACTTTCGGCCACTGGTCGAAGGGGGAAAAAGGCTTCCACATCAACTGCCTGGAAATGTTAGCAGTATGTCGAGCCTGTCAGTTCTTCCTGCCAGTCCTGAAAGGGCACCATGTGCTAATC